TATAGTCACTATTTTACAGTTATTTGGTTTTGATTCAATTCATATACTGAGTATAATGTGGTTAACTCAACTGCTTTAGTCTTAATCTGTTTCCTCTATAATAACATTAAATAATCCATAATAGAGAATTTGGGCTACATAATGAGACTTGCTTTGTGAAAAGTCTGTGAATTTGAACAGTTTTTTTTAGCTCTGATTTGGAGACTCAAGTCAATAGCATGTTAATTGGGTTGACATTTAGTGTAAGCTGCAGGTAATTGATAGGACTGTGGCTGTGATCTGTGTTAATTAGGACATGTTGTAATTAAGATTACAATTAGGATAAAGCAGGGAAGATAAAAAAAAGACACACAGCACAGTAGAAATCTCTCAATAGAACCGTTCAGACCCACCTTTGAGGATGAAGGGATGATTTCTTCTATGACCAGGAGGAACACAGTGAGCGACACCAGCACAGATGTGGAAAGTGACAGTTTCTCTCCTTCGTCCGATGGCAAATAAAACACCAGCACAGTGAGAAAGGACAGGCCGAGGCACGGAATGATGAGGAAGAGGGTGTAGAACAAGGGCAACCTCTTGAGGATGAAGGAGTAGGTGATAAACGGGTACCAGTACACCTCATCCCTCCTGCTCCCTTTCATCCCTGTGGCATTGAGGATCTCCCACTCGCCGTTATCGAAGAAATCTTTGCGGTCCACATAGTGATCAATCAGGACCAGGTCCACCATATTTCCATCGTATGTCCAGGAGCCGAACTTCATGGAGCAGTTCTGTCGGTCAAATGGGAAGAAGGTGACATCCATGGTGCAGGAAGACTTGTAGCTGGCAGGTGGAGTCCAAGTTACGGTGCCGTCCCAGCGCACAATGGCTTTGGTCATCAGGGAACCCTCGAAGCGACCGTCCGCACTGTGAGTAGATGGGTAAGAGATGGATAATTACCAGAGAGAGCAAAGAGTGAGAGCGAAAACTGATAACGTTTACAAACCTCAGAGTGCTACTGATGTGTGCATAGTGCTGCATAACTCACTTTTCATACAGGACGATGTCTGGCAGCCATATTGTCTCTGATGGCACTCTGATGGAGGTAATACCTCCATAGTCATCTGGGTCCCACTTCAACTTCACATCAATCCACTCCTTAAAAAAGAAAAACACAACAGCCTTTTAGAATGATTCTATAATAGGCTTGTAGGTTCAGCACCATGGACAGCACCAGAGTAGCTGACTGCTGACAGCAAATGCTTCCATGTTTGTGCGTCTTTGATCAACACCTTACTGAGTAAATTACTTTATTAGTATTTATTTATTTGTACAGCACTTTCCAACAATGATGGCATTCAAAGTGCAGTACTTGAGTGAGAGAAGCACAAGGCAATATAAAACCACACATAAAACAGAAAGAGTAGGAGTGAAGAGGTAGAC